AGGTAACTCCAGACCTCGGCCTTGCTGGGGCACTGCCTTGTGGTTCTCATCATGTTCACTCACATCCCTCCTTAGGCACAAGAACAGGTTTATAATTTCAGATTAAAAAAAGAAGGTGGAAGAAGGAAAACAGCCCTTTATGGAAGCAGCTTCTTCAAATCTCATTCTGGATCCCATCTCAGCTGGATCTGAAAAGCAAACTCCACTCCGTTGTTCTGGTCCCTGACAGATCCCCCATCCCCTTCCAGCAGGCCAGGAGAGATCATCTATCCAGAAGAGAGTGATTTCTGTTTAACAGTCCAGCACATCTGCCCCAGAAGCTCAGGGCACTTCACTAAGGTGAAGAGCTGCCCTTGGAGGTGGCACTTAGCAGGTATCATCTGAGTTTGCTCCTGCCTTGAAGGTCCAACCTCTTGTAGAAGCAACTTGCCAGCAGGCTCCCAAGTCCATGCCGAGATGAGGGTTACCTTGACACTCTTGTGAGCAGACACACCAGGACAAGGTTTTGAAGCAGACCACAGCACGTGAACAGTGCATGACACCAACATGAGGATGAGCACACAGGGGGAGGAAGGGGCATGTACTGGGGCAGACTCCAGCCGCCGGCCCCTCGCTCAGCGCAGGACGAGACAGGACACTCAGTGCCATAATCAAGCTGTCCTTCACCTGCTTGGGGCCGGGGCGTCCCGCTCCTCCTCAGACTGCCAGGAGCCACATCGCTGTCCTCCTCATGGAGGAGCCCCTCGGTGTCCGAGGAGAGGCGGCTGCTGCCAGAGAGGCGGGGAATGGTTTCAGGTGGGAGCCTCCAGGTGATGCGGCGAAGATCCAAGTCTTCTCCCAGCAACGGCACATATTTCCACCTGGAGCCTTTTGGGACAATGCAAGCACTGGTGTTGGCATGATCTGCAGGGGCCGGGGTGGGCTACCCACCATTTCTGTGTTGCTTGCTGGGGAGGGGAAGGGGCAGGCACCAGTGGGAATGGTACCCGTTCACAGCCCATCCCAAGTGTTGGCTGATGAGTTCAGGCAGTGCAAACATCATGTGACTGGCAGATGGAGAATGGTGGGAGTATGACACTCATGGGGTTCTTCAACACTCAGGCTGTTTTCCAGCCCTGTGTTCACCATGACAAAAGGTGAGAGTCAAAGTCCCACCATGTGCCTGTCCCTGAAGAGTCTGCAACAACTGTCCTCTGCTCAGAAGCAGTTTCATCACTCCTTGATGTGCACTTGGGATGGTCAGGCTCTTGATGTTCCCATGGCTTTGCTTTCTGAAAGGACCAGGGACTCGCTCTTGGATCCCCAAGCCTTGGAGAATCCCCCCAGAGAAGATCCTACTGACAAGACCCATCATTTCACTCATGGCCCATCTTCCCCTTGTTGTCCCAGTACAAGACTAATTCAGAGAGTGAAGTGAGGGAAGAAGAGAGGCCAGTGCATTCCCAGCACTGGTGAAGTCCCTCCTGTTGGCTTGGCCAAGACCCTGAGCATCCAAGGGACTCAGAGGTCTGTGCCTTGCCAGTGCTTCCTTACTGACAGTAACTAGAGATCCAGCCAAATGGCAACAGGAAAGGAATATGAGCAGAGAAGGCCATGAAAAGCCACTCCCACCCCATGCTGAGATTTTTCTTTGCCTCATGGCTAAGACAAGGAGATACTGGTCTTATTTACATTGTGACTTGTCAAATATTCCCACAAATGCAGGTGCTGTGCTTTGCAAATGCTAATCTCCACCACGTCCATGACTTGGATCTCTCCATCTCCGACAGGACAGGAGCAATGAAGCTCATTGCTGAAAGCTCTTGTTGAGGAAAATGAATGTTAAGAAAGACCTTTGTAAAACTCAGAGCAACATACCTGTATCATCAGAGACACTGGGATGCTTGCTGCCAGCTGGAGAGCGGAGCACATCTGTGCTGTACATCAGGTAGCTGTCATAGTCCTCACCTCCCTCTGCATCAATGATGGGGATATCAGGGATGATGGGGACTGGAGGAGAGGTGAAAAGTGCCATTAGACAAGCAGCTCAAAACCACACAGGCCTCCTGTGCTCAGGCTGGCCCTCAGCATCCCTGGGGTGATGGGGAGTGGTCCCCAGCACTACTCCTGCCCCTCTGCTCCCCACCCAGGCAGGTAACTCACTGGACATGGGGCGCTTGGGCTGCGTAGCGAGGTTGATGGTGGCTGCTCTCTGAGGTCCCCAGCCAGCAGAATTTCTGGCCCTCACCGTGTAGCGATAGGGTTGGGACTCATGCAGGTTTTCTATCAGCACCATGCGCTTCTTGGGGTCTTCAACCAGCACCTTCTTCATTGGGCCAAAGGGTTCTGCAAACACGGTATGCCTGTCACCCACGAGAGACAGGGGACCCCACAGCACCCCACCCTTGGCCAACAGGCTCACTGAGGTTTGCTGTAGGACACTGCCTGGCTCTGGGACAAGGTGCAGCAGCTATTTGGGTTGCTCACAGCAGGCATGACACAGTTCTGGGGAAATTCTCAAGAAGAATGCTGAAGTCAACATACAACACAGGTCTCCTTACGCTGGTGTGCCACATATAGTACCTTCCTGGCATAGCACCCAGCCTTAGGTCTAGGTTTTAAGATGAAAACCAACACAAAACACCATGGAAGTGAATGGGAACTGAGAACACTCAATTAAATCCTGTGTCACCATTTTTCTGTACTCCTTCCATCAAGAAGTGAGCCCTCCAAATCCCAGTTTTCACAAGAAACATGCCTGGAACTGTTCTGCTTTTGCTGCTGCTTAGAAGCAGCCCAGCCTACAGAAAGTGTATTCCAGCCCCTCAGCCTGGCTGGACTGCCTGCTCTGAAAATGAGCTCTTACCATTGTCCTCGTTGACAAGTCCATAACTGACTTCATAAGCTGTGATCTCCCCGTTGGTTTCTGCAGGCTCAGCCCAGCTCAGCTGTGTCACAGTGGAGGACACGACGTTGAATGCCAAGCGCCCAGGCTCGCTGGGCACTGGAAAGGTAAGAGCAAAGGGACCAGGTTATTGCAAATCAGGATCTGGTGGATGCAGATGCTCAGAGTTCTGCAGATCACAGCTGGGTTGCTGTGGGAGATGCTCAGTGCTAGACCCCAAGATCACCAGAAGCTCAGGGCTGGAGCCCTGACCCCATGCCAGGTGCACAGGCACAAAGCTGCTCCCAGATGGTGGGAGGAAAGGTGTGGAGTTGCTCACCTTCCTCCAGCGTGCGGCAGTGGATGATGTCGGAGTAATCCCCCTCACCCGCAGCATTGTAGGCGCAGACTCTCATCTCATAGTCACAGAAGGGGTAGAGGTTAGTCAGTGCTGCTGGTGGAGTTTTGACATCCATGAGATTAGCTTCTGACTCAGAATCCCCTTGGATCCAGTATTTCACCTGGTAAAGCAAGAGCAAGCAGTGATTCCTTCAGATCCTCACAGAACGGGTGAGAAATTCCCAATCTCTTACTGAATCTGGGAAAGCCAAGGTGTGCCATTCCTCTGAAGTGGGGGCCAGGGCGATCTGAGCATTTCATAGTAAGTAATGGAGAGGGAGAGGAACTTTCCTGCAAATCCCACATCCACCCAGCAATAGTCCCTCAAAGATGGAAGGGACTAGAAGGGGTGAACTTGCTTCCTTCTTTAAGCATCTTCTTGGATCCCTTCAGTACAAATGACTGTGTGAAACACCTGCAGGATGGGACTCATGCCCTTCCCTGTGATCCACTCGCTCCTTACCTTGTACCCTAGAGGTTTTCCAGGTGGAGGACACCAGTTGAAGTTGATTTCTCTGGAGCTGAGGGCAGTGGCTTTAGGATTATATGGTGCACTCAAGTAGGTTTTGGTGGACTGGTGGATCTGGCCCATGCCAGACATCGAGGAGACACCATCCACCAGTTCTGCAGACACGAGGAAGAAAGAACACATCAGTGGCAGCCCACCCGTTGGAATGAAAAGAAGGAGGTGTGCCTCTCTAGCACTGCCCTACCATGCTGTGATAAATATATCATGCTGTTGACCCACTTGATGACATCCCTTGCAGTTTTCCTTGTCCAGCCACAAGAACCAGCAAGGATCATCTCATGGCAAGTTCCACTTCTCCCCTATTTGTATGGCTTTTTACTCAAATCCCCGAGGAAAAGGAATGAAGTATCCACTCTATTTCCTTTGGCGAGGTGTCTTACTCATCCTTTCCACCCACTGTCTATTCCCTCTCGTGCCTCTAGAGGGAGACCCACATCTACCAGTCGGAGCTTGAGGAACCTCTTCGGTGCTTTTTGGATGAAGAGCAAAGCTTGAGCTCTGTACACCACCTCGGGATGGTGAGTCCCACACCCTCTGCTGCCATCCCCTCCACCTGGCTGCCAGCACCTACCTGGGTCAGCGATGGTCACCGTGGTCTGGGGGTATCTGCCGATCTTGGCACCATACTTGGGATGGATGAGGTCAATTGCAAATTGCTTGAGCTGGTAGTTGTTTAGGAGGGTGTCTATTTCAGTCAGCTCCAGCAAGGGGACCTGTATCTCCTTTCGGGTCTCCCCAGGCTGGAATGGAAGACCACCCTCTGTGAAGATGTAATCCTGGAGGAGAAGGAAGAGGTGTGAGATTAGGTGGAGAAAGTGAGTGGAGGAGATGGAAGAGGTTTGTTCAAGGTGAGGCTGATTGGGGTTTTGAGCAACCCAGTCTAGTGGAAGGTATCCCTACCCATGGCAGGGGGTTGGAACCAGATGATCTTTATGGTCCTTTCCAACCCAAATCATTCTATGGATTCTATCCTATCCTGGAGGAGAAGGAAGAGGTGTGAGATTAGGTGGAGAAAGTGAGTGGAGGAGATGGAAGAGGTTTGTTCAAGGTGAGGCTGATTGGGGTTTTGAGCAACCCAGTCTAGTGGAAGGTATCCCTACCCATGGCAGGGGGTTGGAACCAGATGATCTTTATGGTCCTTTCCAACCCAAATCATTCTATGGATTCTATCCTCCTCATGGATTCTATGATTACAGCCTGCAGCATCCATGAGGAGGTGCCCAGTGAGCTTCCCCTCATCATTCAGGCAATTCCCATTTCCCTTCCAACACCCACAGTTCCAGCAGCACTTGGTATCCTCTGCCTCAGGCACAGACATCCTCCCAGGTCCCTGAGGCACAGGGAGCAAGGGATGAAGGCAAATGTCCACCCTTGTGCTAACCTCAAGCCTCGGGTCCCCCCCTCTCCCAGCCACATCCACTCAGCCTGGTCAACTCTCTTCTGCAACCCCATGGCTGGCTCTTTCCCAGCCCTCCATTCCCACCTGCCAAGGCCAGGAGCACCACCCTTACCCTGCCATCCTTGGCAGTGAGGTCCCGGGTCCTGTAGGTGACTTGGGATTTCCCGTTGTCTATGATCTCCCGGAGGACAGGGATCTTGGCCAGCTTATCAAAGCGGCTGTGGGAATAGGCTGGCTGCAAGAAGGTGATGAGGCTGCTGGCTGGAAGGGGGAGGAGAGAAGGAATGTGTAGAGCAAACACATGAAGACTCACATTACGAACACTTAGGAACTCTGTTCAGGGAGAACATCTATCACCCACAGGTGTGAACTGTACATGGAGTATTACTGCCTGGGCTGGAGATTTCACCACTCCAAATTTGTGCTCCCTGAACAAAACAGCCAGGTGGGAAACAGAGGCAAAGTGCTGGGGACATTCACCTGCCCCAAGCACAGCATAACAGCAAAGAGGTTCTGCTTCACTCCAGCAATCTATGAACTGGAGCAGCAGAGGCATATGGTCAGCACTGGATCTGTCACAGAATTGGTAGCATCTAAATTTGTGATGATCAAATGTTTGGGTCTCTGTCAGCAGGGGATGATGACCTTCCTTTGGATACTTTAGAAGATGCTCCAGTTTATACCCAGGTGACTTCAGATAGGAGTAATCAAGCAAGTCTCCCATCTGTGATCTGGGGTGGCTGAGATACACAGACTGTGCCTTCCTTACAAACCACCTCAGCCCACCTGGACATGGAACACACACACACAAACAGCATTCTTGTGCCAGTCACAGCCCTTCACCTTGTTCTTTGATGATGGTGATGTTGACAACTCTGCGCCCAATCTTCGCGATGCCGTTCGGGACCTCAATAGCCTCCACCTGCAGCTGCTTCTCATCATCATCCTCCTCCCTGATAAACAGTGGGACACGGACATCCACCAGTTCCACAGCCTCTTGGAACTCCACCATGCCCTGAGCATCTGGGGGAACAGGCAAGGATGAGACATGGGAAATCCCCCCCTAAGCCCAGCTAGGAGTCAGCACTGGGCTCTGCTCCCTACCTTGGTCTGAGGTCACAGTGTAATAACCCGGTGCAACCTTCAGGTCATTGAAAGCCTCGTGGGAAACATGTTTTTCCACTGCTTTGATGATGTCTGACTTGGCTGAGCGAGGGGCAGTGAGCACTGTGTCCACAATGGTGTGGTCCTGCCTGGGACCGGGGGGGAAGAGAAAGGCAGGTAAGACCTGAGTCCTGGGTTACTCATCTCACATAGCAGCTAGGGGGGCAATGAATTTGTGGGGCATTTAGTCACCCCACACGTGTACAACGAGGGAGAAGCTGCACAAGAGAGGGCTGCGAGTTCCTCTTACCTTTTCCCAGAATTGGGCTGTAACCTGGAGGAAAAATAAACCACAAATTAGAGTGACTAATGCATTTGCAGAGACAAAGTGCTGTGTGAATCACAGCCCTGTGCAGGTCTGAGCTGCAGAACTGCCCTGCGGGTGCCAACCCATCACACAGAGCCCATGGCCCCAGCACATGTTCCCTCCTGCCTGGCTGCTCCCTCCCACCCTGGGTTTCCCAATGCAATGAGAAACATGCCCACAGGGGAGATTACATCTAGATCAGGCTGTGGGGAGGGGATACCACTCCCTGCTCACTGCTGGCACCCCCAGACTCCTCCCATCCTCCACCAGGCACTCCTAACTTTGCACCAGGCTGAAACTTTTGAAGGCAGTGGGAGTTTTCCCATTGAGCACTATGCAACCAGGATTTGTTCCTGCTGGTCCAAAGCCAGATGTAGTTGAGATCTCCTGCACAGCTGGGAAGGCTCTGCTCTGCAGCCCTGGGTGGGTGAAGCACCACACCAGGCTTGTGCTGGGTTTGTCTCACAGTCCATGCTCCACCCTGGCATCCCAGATTTTACACCCCAGTTCTCTGTCCACCCCCTCATCAGCAGGGCCCTGGGGGAAACCTGCCAAGCTGGAGGTCTCTCCCCCACTCACTCACCTGAACTTGGTCTGCTGGAGCTTGTGGCATCCAGGGATGTGCTTGAAAATATCATTCAGCTGCAAGAAGCAAGAGGGACTTTAATAATGTATCCCTTGCTGAACAGGGATGTGTTCAGCAAGCAGGAGCTGCTGCCAGCAAACATAAAAGAGCCCTCTGGCCACCCTGGGTCCTTCCCACGTGCCTTCCCACACCAAGCAGAGACCACCACATGGTATCTCCCCAGGACATAGCAAGAGGCTGCAAACTGAAGCTAAACAGGAACTCCACATCACATGCCCCAAGGCAAACCTCAAATCTCATCGATTTGGTAATTCTCACATTTGTGATCTTAAAATTTATGCTGTCTCTCAGAATGAGGAAAAATTGCTTCTTCCTTTCAAGAGCTGTCTGGGTTCACAGCATCACAGACACCTCCTCAGAGTGGTTGTGCCCCAGTCCCACCCTGACCCCCCTCATGCCCAGGCTCTTACATTCTCCTCCACTTCCTTGCGCAGCTGCTCACACTCCCGAGTGTCTGGTTTCATCAGGTTCTGTGTGAATAGCCTGGCCAGCCTCAGGGACAGCCCATAGGGAACTGGAAAGAGAAATTCCCAAATCAAACTCCTTCCTCCTTGGTTAGAGAAATAACCCACCCCCCAAAGCTCTAAGTGTGGGGGGCACATGCAATGCTTGGTGTCCAGATCCTGCTGTTAGCACCCAAACTCCAGAGCACCAACCCTCTGAGAACTGGGGGCTAACTGGGAAGCTCTCTGCCAGATACACTAAGGAAATCATCCTGTAGTGGCTCTGGACTGATGAGGCAGCAAAATCAAGGCTGGGTCACTGAACTCATGAGACTAAGACACATACAGGATACATCCACCATGTGACCAGGCTGTCAGGAGGTCTCCAAGGGTCCTGCTACAGGGCTGGACATAGGAATGTTTTGCTCAGCTTCCCCCAGGATAGAAGCAGATAAAGGAACCTACACCACCTACAACTCAACTTGGCAGTAATGCCATGGCTGCCAGAGCTGGGAGCCACCACCAAGGCTTTGGGCCCTTTACTGTACCCATGGTATCTCCTCTGTGCCCTGTCCCTCAGATGTGATGCTCACCCAGGTCTTTGGGGCTGGTGGCAGTGGGGGAGGTGAAGGATTGCTTGTGAACATTGTTGTGGATCTTCCAGCGGACTGTGTCCCGACCCTTGAGGGACCCACTGCGGACCATGGGGGTGTCCAGGTGGTCAGAGGACATGAGGCTGTGGCGCAGCATGTAGTGGTCCTCCTTGAAGCCAACAGTGCGACCTGCAGAGCCAAAGTCAGGGTCAGAGCCTGGGCAGACTGGGATAACACCAGGCCTCAACATCCCAACACTGGAGACTTTGTTCTGGGTGAATCTTTAGGGCTTACACCATGCTAAGAGTGTTGGGATGTCAGGAATGGAGTGGGGTGGAGAGGCAAGGGTTGTCCATGAGTGAAGAGAACACATGCCACCAGCTAGGCATTACAAGGGACACTGGTTGAGGAGAGCCAGCAGTGGGATCCCCAGCAGAGCATCCAGGGTGTGGAGCAGGGAGGAGCACTTGTCTCAGGCTCTCTGCTAGGAGATTTTCCACAATCCACCTCCCCAGCTCAGAGAGGAGGAGGAAACCTACTTATCCCAACCCAGCAAGGCAGTGAACCCCACAGATCCCTCTCCCCACAGGTCAAAGGGCTGGTACCTCGTGCACAGCAGGGAAGCAGGGCCAGGCAAGTCTAGAAAAGAAACAGCCAAAGACACAATCACTTTGGACACAAGGACAAAACCCCTTCATGTCTTCATCTGTGAGGATTCACATCAGCAGGGATAGGTGGGCAGTGGGTGGATGGGGCTCTGGAAGCTGATTTTAGCCAGATATCCCTTCAAGTAGGGGAAATTCCACAGGAACTCATGTTGGCAACAGCAGAGGTGCTGGACACCACTGGGATCCAGCCCTGCCAATGTGGCCATGCTGGAGGCTGGGTGGATTCTAGAAATTTGTCATGGTTTTGACCTTTGTCTGGTCCTCCCCCCAGGCTGGGGGATCCAGCCAAGGCACTCACCTTGCAGCAGGCACAGAACTTCCAGCAGAGCAGCAGCAGCAGCCCCAGGAGCAGGATGAGGAAGATGAGCAGTGGGATGAGCCAGAAGAAGGTCGCTGGAGGGCACTCTGCAAGTGACAGCAGTGTCACTTCCAGGCATCAGATCCCATATGGGGTGTGCAGGGAGGCAGTGGGAGGCAGGGACAGAGGGGAAAAGGCTGGACCACAGCTCTCAGAGGGATGGAGCAGCCCAGTCAAGCTTGGAACTTCTCTCTTGGAGCTCACAACAAGGAGTGTTGTTCAGGGAGAACTATTGCACCTCTGCTCACATCCAGCCATCCCTAAAGGCTGTGCAGCACCTCACATCAGTCCCTGCCAGTGTCAGCAGTAGGAAGGCAGTGCTGTCTAAAGGTGTTGCTCCCTGAGGGTGCCATACTCCACTCCTCACACTTCACATGACAGCCAATGTCACCCACCCCTGTCACACACAAAGGTGGGCAGGGAGGTCCTACCTGCAGCTGACACTGCCCAGGGGCACAGGAAAGGGACAAAGCAGGGACTGGAGGCACTGTGGAGCCAGTCACTCTGATCCAGCCTCCAGGCTGAACATCCCCAACTTCTCCCGTGCCCCTCCTCACCTTTATTCTTCTGCACACGGACAGTGGTGTTGGGGAGGACACTGGGGTCTCCCTCTAGGGTGTAGTGGTATGTGCAATCATCATCCTCATCCTGGAAGGAGCAGTACTCGCCAGCCTCCTCTGAGGAGAGAGGTGACACAGTTGCAAAGTCACCAGGATCAGGAAAGACTTGGGGAACAGCCTCACATACACAACACAGAGAAGGGAGACACCAATGTGTCTACACCCAGCTCTGCTTCTCATGGTACCTTTCTTCAGCTCTTCCACCATCTGGATCTGGAGGTGGCATGTGCTGCAGTTCCCTTTCTTGTTGCCTGTTCCCCAGGTCTGGCAGGTAACACAGTCCCGGATGCTGTCACACACAGCCTGGAAGCCCTGGGTAGAGGTGGGGTGGGGGAGTCAGGAGACAGGAAGCTCCTACAGGAGCAAGGGAGGGCACAGTCTCCAAACTGGCAGAACTGGAGAGGCAGTACTGCATCCTCACCCTGTGCCAAGGCAAGGTCAAAGTGGAATCACTGAGAACAAGCAGCTCACAAAGGATTGGATGGGGCTTGGAGCAACCTGGTCTGTGTGAGGTGTCCCTGCCCATGGCAGGGGGTTGGAAGTGGATGAGCTTTAGGGTGCCTCCCAACCCAAATCAGTCTGTGATTCTACTAAATGTGTTTTTCTCTAGTCTTGAGGCAAATCACAACCACGAATTGAGCCTTAATCCTCTGCCCATCACCAGGGTGCGGATAAACACAGAGAGACACTCAACAGTTGCTGCTGGTGAACTGGAGGGCAAAGGAAGCCTGTGGCTAACAAAGCAGCTCCCACATCAGCCCTTTCTTGGCCACAGGACAGGTGAGACTAACCCTTGCACAGGATTTGTTCCTGACTGAGATGTGCCTTCATCTCTGCATTGCCTTCCTTCCCTGGAGAATCTCTGTGTGGGAAGGAGAACTGATAAACCCAGAGAGACTCACCAGGGAGTAGCTGATTTCACAGGTGGAACTGGTGTACAGCGAAGCCATGTCACAGATGCATCTGCCACACTCACACCTCCCATGGTTATTGCAAATGCCCTGGGAGGGATAAAGTTGAAGTTGGAATCCAAGAGTAATTACAGACACGCAGTGACACTGGGGGTCAAGCAAGGTGCCAACTCCCAGTGCCCCTGAGCTTCTGACATCAGGGTAATTCCCTACAGCCCTGCCTGGACCAGTGGTCCCTGGTGCAGGCAAGGCAGGACCTACCCCTCGGCTGTCGATGCAGGTGTCATTGCTCGTGGGACACTCACAGCCTGGACCCTCCCAGCCACTCTCACACACACAGGCTCCCTTGGAGCAGCGACCACGATCTGGGGGCAAGAGGATGAATTACTCAGTGCCCAGCACTGTACTACTCCCCTGGCCACTTTCCCTGGGGTGCAAAGAGGCTGCAAACAGACTCCACAGCATCCTCCCTGCACATTTCCAAGTGCAGAGTCTCTGCAGCCCATCACCAGTCACCCAATCCCCCGTGCCAGTGCCACCAGCCCCAGCACACCCCCCAGCTGGGGGACACTGGAGGGGCAGCAGAGCTGCTCTCACCATTGCAGAGGAAGCCAGAGCTGCGTGGGCACTGCAGGACGTCGTACTGGCAGAACTCCCCGTCGAAGCGCTGCGTCAGGTCCTCGGAGTAGCACTGGCACTTCCCACACAGGCACTCACCCCTGCCCGAGCAGGGCTCGACATCCCCGGGGCGGATGCAGCCCTCGTTGTTGGAGGAAACCTCTGGGGAGCAGTCACACGTGTCCCCTCGCCTGGCAGGGAGGAGATGGTGCTGAGAGAGGCAGGAGCAGAGTGCCTGACAGCAGGGTCCTGGGTAGGATGCCCAGGCAAGAACGTTTATCACTGTGGGTCCCCAGACCCAGCAGGATCCCTGGGAAGGGTATGGAGCTGGATATGGTCCTTACCAGCCTTGGTGGCAGATGCACTGTCCGCAAACGAAGTCCCCGTGGAAGCTGCACTTGGGTGAGCTCCACTCTTTTTGCTGGAAGAGAAGAGAGAAGAGGCATTACTGAATGGGCTTGGCTGCCACCAGGACCATTTCAGGAATCAGAGAGAGAGATGCAGGGGCAAAGTTTTGCCCTGAACACCAAGCTGTGCCATAGGAGAGCATGACCTTCTTGGTACAGGTATTACTGAAGATCTCAGCCAGGCTGAGCATCAATGAGGGTTTGAGTGGAACCCACATGTGCCCTCCAACATGTTCCCACCCCAGGCCAGGAGGAGGACATGTGTCTGCAACACACCTCCCCATACCTGTTCACAAGTACACACGTCGCAGACGACAGAGGTTTCAACTGTGAGGCTGTCACTCAGGGACGTGGGTTTCACGTGGATAACTCCCTTCCTGTCCTTCTCAGGGAGGCTGCAGACGTGCTGCCCACCAACATACTCCAGTGCCTTCACGTGCATGTTGAACTTGCCCTGAAGAAAGGGACACACCACCTCGGGGATGAGCCAGCTCTGCTGGACCACAGCCTGGCCAAAGGTGGAGGGCTCAGCCCCTCACACATGCCACCCCTCCAAGCACTTACCACTTCCCCACGGGTGATGTGGAAGGAGCCAGATTCTGTCTTTTCATACATTGAGGAGGTGAACTCTGTTTTGATGGCTTTGGGGGTGAAGTCAGCCCGGATGTCCATCTTGGAGCGAATGCGCTGGGTGGCACAAGATAACCACCTTGATTTTCAGCACCACCTCATGCTCTGCCCCAGAGGAGCCACATCCTCCCTCCTGCCCACCCTCTGCCTTCCCTGGGAGCCAGAGTGAAGCCCCAGAGAGCACCATTACCTCAAAGGCTGTGCGGATCAGCTCCACGATGTTGGAAGAGTCCTCCTGGAGCACCCCAATCTCAGAGATGGGGAAATACTTGTGCAGTTTCTGCAAAGAGACAGGAGTCAAGGCCTTGAGAACCCTCCTCTAGCACTGGAGTGGGCTCTGCTTTGAGCAGGACTTGAACTAGAGACCTCCAAAAGTCCCTTCCAACCTAAATTACTCTCCAGCTCTGTGCTCCCACTGCTTTATAAGAAACAGAAGCCAACATGGGAATACCTCTAGGAGCCCAGATTCCTACACCAAATAATACACCCTGAGACCTTCCACAACCCAGAGCAGCCCCCTAACACCTTCCCAAATATCAAGGTGTTGATTTAGCACTTGGGAACAAGAGATGGGATAACACTTTCTCCTCACAGCCAAGCAGTGGTCCTGGAAAAAGGTAAGCCCATGTGGCATCACTGCCATGGTCTCCTCACCTGATAGTAGCTGTAGGAGTGGTTGGTGACAGCAAAGATGGGGATGATGTTGTGTCGACCCAACAGGCGCACCAGGGTGGGCACTGAAGGGTAGTCCTGCTTGGTGTCATACACATAGGTGCCATGGGTGTCTAGGTGACACTGCTCATCATTTCTCGCCAAGATCCCTGCCAAGACGTTGGTACCATCAGCTTCATAGTGAAAGGCAGACTCGGTGGAGAACACGAGCAGGTGAGTGCTGTCTTTCCTCCAGCCAATCTTATCCTACAGCCAGGGAGAAGGAACCTTTACCTCTGTGCCCCTCAAACCCCTGCACAGCACTTGAAGCACTTGACAGGACAGCCCTGGCAGGAGCTGGAATATCCATGGGGCAAGGCACCACCTCCACCTGGCAGCAAACACAACCAGCTACCTGGCACCAGGAGTCCAAGCACCCATCTGCACCTCCAAAGCACAGGGTGTCTCACACCCACAGCTCAGTGCCAGGCACATGTATGTACAGGGGCAAGCCCACACTTTTCTGGACATGTTTGGAGCTGTGCTCATCCCTCAGCCAAGCAGCCAAGCCCAAGTGGGCTGTTTTCCAGGGAGCAGAGTTTCACTACCATGGGCATGGAGAAGTACAGAGCAAAGAGTACACACAGGGTGCCCACCAAGCAGCTCCTGTGCTGGGGATCAAACAGCAGAACCCACATTCTAAGACTTAGGAAAAACTGGGACTGCAAAACAGCTTGGGAGCATGTGACTGGGAGGGCAAGAGCCACATGCAGGTATAACATATAACCTGGGCTCCCTGGCTGCCGCATCAGCTGCCCAGCCTGCAGCTCTTCTGCTCATCACTGGGTATCAGAAAGATCCACTCATTAAAACACAGCCCTGCCCACACAGCTCCTGAAGCCCTGGCCACCTTCACCTTGCAAACAGCTGTCTGCAGGATGGCATCAAAGCCACCCTCAGGTGCATCCAGGTTGCCGGAGATTCGCTCCTTCTGGAGCTTCTCGTTGAAGTAGTCGATGTTGCTGGTCAGGCGGATGACGTTCTTGAAGGAGAAGGGGGAGTCAGCTTTGTGCCAGGGCTCGAGCAGCCTAGGAGAGAAGGGGCAACCAGGGTTTTTGCAGGAGGTAGGAGCAAAGGGATGCTTTGGTGTAAGGAGAGTTATCAGGTATTGGAATGGGCTGCCCAGGGAGGTGGTGGATTCACCATCCCTGGAGGTTTTCAAGATGAGACTGGATGTGGCACTTAGTGCCATGGTTTAGTAATCATGGTAGGGTTGGACTTGATGATCTTGGAGGTCTTTTCCAACCCAGCTGAGTCTATGATTCTATGAAGGAGAAGGGTGGGGAGGGCACCCAGAGGCTGGGGAGTTGGGAAGCCATGGATTTGAGCTGGCAAGCCATTAGCACTGAGAGGTAGAAGGGATAAGGGCAGGGATGGAGGAGAAGACAAGACATGTAATCTATCACAGCAGTGTGGGGAAGGTCTGAAAGCAGAGGAGGAGGATGCTGACATTAGCATGGTGCTATAGCACTGAGGGATGGGGAGGCCAAGGGAGACACTGGCAATGAAGGGAGAAAGATGGACAGAGGTGTTCCCACTGCAGAGAGTGAGTATCAGGAAAGCCATGGAGAAACAGGCACCTTCCCTCTCCTCTGCTCCCATCCTGGGGACCCATTGGGTTCACTCACTTTTGAGGTCTCATGTCTGTCTGAGGGGACGAGACTTTGTCCACAAACTTGCCAAATCCGATAGTGTAATTGGAGGTCAGGTCTTGCAGGAACGCCGCTGGGAGGAGAGGAAGGGAATAAAGAGATGCCTGTGATCTCACTGCTCCAGGGAAAAAGGTCATTTCCTGGACATCTTCTCTACTAGTCAGGTCTTAGATGAGACTTGCAACCTGCCAGCTTTTAAGAGCTTAGGCCTAGTCTTTTTTTTTGGTAGAAACCTATATCCCCTTTGGCATTCCCCTTTCCAAAACTGGAGCTTCTGCAATAGCACCTGCCACACCAATCGGTTCAAGATGCCAAAGTCCTTGCACAGATCAGCTCTGTGGAACACCAGATCCATGCTGGGCTGGAAGGAGAGAGCGCATGTGATGGTCCCTGCAGGGCCAGGAGAGGCATCACCCTAGGAGGCTACACAGAGCAGCGATAATGAGAAACTCTAATTAAAGCAGACACCTCCTAGCCTGTTGCAAGCTGCATCCCTCTCACTGGTGCTGGCAGAGGACTTGCAGCCACAAGCAGGAGTGAGCTGCCTGTCTTCATCAGCCAGCACAGGAGCTAACTCCCCTCTTCTCCCAGCTCTGGTCTCACCTAGGTTGTGGCCCATGCTTTTGAGGTTGTTCAGATCATCAGACATAGAGTAGGAGAAGTCCATGAGGATGTAGAGATCCACAGGGCTCTCCAAGGGCTGGAAGACATCCATGTTGAAGCTCATCTCCTCCCCAGCTCGAAGGTTCATGGCCATGCCCTGGGGAGACACCTGGGTCCTCTGCAGGAATGTGTTGATACTGGTATTCTGTCAAGAAAGAGAACATGAAGGGGATGGACTCCATCTCCTGCATAGACGCAATGAGGAGGAGGCAACGAGCAAGGAGATACGTGGGAAGTGGAAAGAAATGGATGATCATGCTGCCCTGCCTCATGTACAACAGCCTCTCCCATGTCCATATGTGTCCAGCTGGGCACCTCCCTCCAGACCTTGGCATTTTGCTTACATCTGTTTTGCCTGAAAAGCCACCCTAGCCCAGAGCAATCAGGGCTCGTGGCCAACAGGTCTGCCAGCTAGCAAAGGCAGAGCACTGTTTTTGAATAGACATACAAAACCAGAGCTACGGGCGTGCTGAAGCCTCTAGAGGAGGATGAAGGACCCTTCAGCAGAAGCTGAGCTAGGGCTGAGTTCCCAGCACCCACCTTTTGTGTCCACATCCCACCCCTGGAGTACATGATGCTGGTCTCTGCGCAGCCATATCGCAGCAAGTTCTCCCGCAAGTCGCAACGTGGCTCTTCAAAGCTCTGCCAAGGGGGCAAGAACAGCATTAGAGACACAGAAAGCACCAAAGCAAGCCACTGTGGAAGGGGAAAGACATGGGTCACGAAGCAGCATCCTCTGCTGAGACCATTATATGAGCCTTTGGGAGCACGAACAGGGCAGAGAGATGGAGATGAGTCTTGCACAGAAGACGCAACATTCCCCAGCAGCAGGGAAATGTGACCACCAGTGACCTAATGGGTTGTCTGGGATAAGACCCTCTCTCTATCCCTTGCATACACTGTTTCAGACCTGGCACACTGGCATTTACTGATCAGCCCCTGTATTCCTGCAGGCCCACCCTGGACTCCTCTCCCTCCCCATTTGTCCACACCAAAGGAAATCCACATTTCAGCACTTCCTATTCAGAAGAGAAGCTGAAGCCAAAAAGCTGACCCTACTCTTGTGTTTCTCTCCTACCAAGGGTGGCAGGATCCCTCTGTCAGCAGAGTGGGAAGCAGAGACCTGGGCTCCCCTGCAAGGTCTCACCTCATCAGCACAGAAGGAACAGTCCTTATCCACTCGGATGCACTCGGTGCAGTTCTTTGCCCGGGACAGCACACAGCGATTATCTACCAGAAAACATTAGGAATGGGGAAAACAAAGTGAGCTGTGGGAGGGTATGAGGAAGGCTGACTGCATGGAGGGATGGAGGGTTTGCCTGGGTTAGTTAGTTAGTAGACAGTTAGTGGAAACCGTCTACAAAACAACAGGGTAGCAAGAGAGGGGCCCCAAATGCTGGGGAGATAGGAAACAGCAGGAGAAACACACAACAGGTCTTCTCCAGATGAGAACTGGCATTTCTGGAGCCCAGGAGGGGTGTGCAAAGTCCCCATGGGACAGCTCCAAGGGGAGATGGCAGACAGAGCTAACCCAGCTGCACTCACTTTTGCTCCACTGGCAGAGGCCAGTGGCACAGAGCAGGGACAGGAGGAGCAGCCCAGCACACACCCGTGGCAGCACATCCATCCTCTTCCTCCTGAAACACACAGATTGCTACATTGCAGAGAGCCAAGACATGGAAATGGACCTGGAGATGACCAGGGCAGATCACCCTGAGCCCCAGCCCAGCCCAGCTGGGGCACATCCAGGGGAAGCAGTGCCTGGAAACAATCGCTGAGCTCTGCAGGGCAGGGCACAAAAGGAAAGCAGAAAAGCCAAGGGTCCACTGCTTGGGCATCTGCAAGGCTCATGTTCCTGGCAATGCCAGGGCAGAGCAGCTGCTACCCCTGTGCCCAGAGTCAGGGTGCCTGATTTGATGGGTCCCCCCTGGTGCAGGCAGACAGAGCACACACTGCTCCTGGCTGGAGCCCAGAGCCATCTGCACGTGTGAGCACTGACCAGGTCAAGACCTTGCTTTTCCTGACAGGTTAAGGGAAAAAAAAACAGAGGAAAACAAAGTGGCTGTCCACATCTCTCCCCAAAACCAAAACAGACCCCTCCCTTCAGCTATTTCCTATCATACTAAGAGTTTCCAGGATGGTCAAACCAACAATAAATAGAGGGCGAGGCCTTGGGAAATGCCAGACTTGGAGTTTTGGAGTTGTTGAATAAATCTATGGTCTTGAGAGCCTGGAAGCTCCCCTTTGTTCTGTCCAGGGCAGCAGGACTCCTCATGTGGATCCAGAGGCCAAATCCTAAAGAGAGTGAACTATTCTCCCTGCACCAATGCCTGACAGAGAAAACTCAGTGCCATCCAGAAGTCAGTGCTGGGACATAGTAAACAAAAGGGACAAAGCTGAAACTCAAGCTCTGTGGCTGCCATGCCAGGGGGTGGCCCTGGCATCCAGCAGGGCAAGCGAGAGCAGTCAAGGAAACAAAACAGTGTAAAGAATCTTTAAAGCATCTCCTTTTTGGAAGATGTAAGTGTGAAACCTAAGATGCAAAGGAATTGTCTTGTAGCTCCTTTCTGTGTCAGCCTTGAGTCTAAAATAAATGAAAACAATGTGAAAACCACTTAAAACAGGGAAAGCAAATGAGAGTATTTGTTATGTGCAGTAAAGATGTCTGAGTTCCCTGAAGGGTGTCCAGCACACAAACCAGTCACCTGCTGACTTAGCTACCAACAGCCTGACCTGGGGGGCAGGGAAACCCCTGGAAAGACCAACATCTCAACATCACTGGATCACACTTGGCCTCTGTATCCTGCATTGGCCACTGAAGCCAGTGGAAACACATGGAATGCAGGAATTGTTGTGACACAGCTCCAACCAACACACATCAACACCAGAGGACACCAAGGGAGGTGTTTGCACTTGGTACTCTGTGACAGTCACTGGATTAATGAGTAACAAATGACAGGACATTGGTATCTCATTCATCCTGTCAGCTGTGCTCAGAGGGATTTATCACAGTAATTAATGCCCCATGGCTGAAACGTGAGAAACACACAAACCTCAAGGCAGCATCTCTGTGGGGAAACCCAGGGAAGCTTTGCTGTTCATCAGAATCTGTAGCCAATGTGCTGGTTTTCCAATGTGCTGTTTTTCTCATGGGTAAAAGGTACCAACTGACTAAGGAAATCCCTCTGCTTCCTCCCTTGCCACCTTGACTGTCTCCAGTTCTGGCCCTCTGCAGGTTTGGCTTTGGGTGGTCTCTGTCTCTCCCAGCCAAGCCCCAGCACTGATACAGAAGTCAGCAGTTATCCTTGTCCCTGGACGTATCTGTGACCTCCTTCAGCAACATTCCTTGCACCAGCATTTGCTGGCAAACATCATGTCCTTTGCTACCAACACAGGTGGGATTTGAAGCCAGGAAAATCCCTTTTTCCCTTGCTCTACCCCAGTGAGCCATGCCAGCTGCAGCAACCAGCACTACTGGCACATGGGAGGTGCCAATTAGAGGTGATGAAAGGCTAGGGAAGTCCTTTGAGCCCATTGAGGGAAAACACACAGCAAACAAACCGAAAGCAACCAGCAAATCCCATGTCCCACTATGGCAAGGGCCACGAGGAAAGGATTGAGTATGGGACCTGATTGCTCAGCTCACAAGGACTTAGTTCATCTTCCTTTAATCTCAAGCAAAGAAAAAGTCACCAAGGGGCAGACAGACACACCCTAGGCCTTGGGCACATAAATTGCTATCATCTCTTTTCAAGTGCTGATACAAGAGACCATTAAACTCAGAGTGATATTAAAGTCCTGTTGCCCTGTGAGCCACCAACCTCCAAGGAGTGGGGAGGGCACTGGGAGCACAGAGCACTGACTGGGCGCTGACGGCTGCTGGAATTCTGCCTGTAAATGTTGTGCAAAAAGTATGGGAGCGGCCATCCCTCGATTTCAGAAGTGTCCTCTGGATAGAAAAACGTCACTTTCACTTCAGGAAAGCTGCAGGATTTGGTTGGATTTGCGTGACAACAACAATTTAAAACAATCTGTTCATTTGTGCAAACCTAAGGAATGAGGCAGAACAGCTTCTGGTAACACGCAAACATCCTATCCCATCCCAGTTATTGTTCCAGTATTTCCTTCTGGTCTCCTTCTGCTCCCCCAGCCTCTGCCTGCACCTCGGCACAGCCAACAAACCTGCCCCAGAAAGATGCCAGGAACTCCTGAGTTTGGAAAAGCCAGGGCTGGGTACTTCATCCCCAAAACCCAGGGGATGATCCAAAGAAACCACTGGTGCAATGGGGTGGAGGACAGGGTTGAAGTGGCAGATGGGGGAGAGGGACCAAGGAGTAGGTTATGATGAGCCATGAGCCCATGGTGGGAGCTTGGTCCCAGCTGCAACATGAGGAACACCCAGCAGGTTGGGCACATGAAGTGGGAAAGCAAAGGAGATGCATGAACTTCCCAGCACAGCCTTTCCTTCCTCCCAGCCCTTTTCACAGCCACAGCCCCCCATCCTGCTGAGGGGTGTCTGGGGGCTGTGCAGGGGCCTGATGTCCTGGTAGATGGGAGGAGGAACACCTGCTTGCCCACGTGCACTGAGGTTGGGCAGCACAGCAACAGCCACAGCAGCTCATGTTGCCTCAGTTCTCCTCCCAGGGCAGGGCTGTGGGTGCAGGGATCAGGGACACAACTGTCACTCCCTTCCTCCCCAGCACACGTGGTGGCACAGAGCTGCTGGTGCCACGCTCCAAAACTTGGAAATTATCAAGCCAGACTCCCAGAAAACTATCAAAAACTTGACCAGCAAATCAAAGCATCATTTCAACACAAAATCACACTGCTCTATGGGTTTGTTTGTCTCCCCCATCCATTTCCCCTCCTTCTCCACATGTGCCTCTGCAGCTGGGAGGCTCCACGTGAATGTCTCCATTTCTTGTTTCCAGCAAGAAGGGGAATCTCAGCTCCCAGATTGAGCTCCAGACCCCATACATAGCCCCAGCATCATCCAGCAAAGGACACAACACAGCAGAACCCATCCCAGGGACTCACATGGAGCTGCTGGGAGCTGCTTTGTGACCAACACCACCCCGTGCTGGCAAAGGGCTGGTGGCTGCAGCACTGTCTTGTCCCTCTGCCCCCCAGCTTTGGGCAGGGGGGAATCCCAAGGAGAAAGCAGGGGGTAATCCCAAGGAGCACAAGGTCAGGACGCTGCCTGCAGAGCTGCTCAAATGCCAGCACAGCCTGCAGAGCTGCTCAAATGCCAGCACAGCCCCAGAACCTTTCTGCCTCCCCCACGTGCTGCTCCTAGCACATTCTCTGCTCCTTTGGCCCCACAAGACACTTTTCGTCTCCCTCCCCTCCAAGGGTGCTCCTCATCCCTCTTTTCCACCACCTCACCCATGCCTGTCAGCTCCCTCACCCCAATCCTTCTGTCCATTTCAAATCCACCAGCTTACAAATACCCTGACACGTGCAGTTCAGCAAAGCTCACCCTGAATCTGCACTCTCTCCTAGACTTTTCCTCCAGAGAACTCTGGAGGGTTTTTTTCCCTTTACTCCCCCCTTGCAGAAGGTTGCAGACACCCACCCATCCTGCAAAACAACCTCCGTGGGCTCAGCAGGTTGAAAGCACCCACAGCCTGTCTGACCTTGTGCATTTTCACCCCTGGGAGCTTTCCCTGTGCACCAGCTCCAAGACACAACCACCTTTTTCCCCTTGAAGTGAGCTGACAGAGAGTGCAAACTTTGAAACCGGCAACAACCTGTCCCTGAAGGGCTCTGCTCTGCCTTCCCACCTGGCTGTACCCCCACTGCAGTGCCCCAAATACCTCCAGAGACAAACACAGCCCTCAAAGCCTGCTCAGTCACGAGCGCTG